ATTTTGAAACCTATAGATGGGGGGGGGATATAACACCTCAGACCCTCACCCAACTCACTCTTTAGGTTAGCTGAGAGCCCGTCTGTGCTTCTTAACCAGATGTATAGATTTGCTTGCCTTGCTTCTTTAATAAAGGTGCATGCGCTAATTGCTTTAATAAAATTGGCTTCATCACAACACAATTATCTGGAGTTTTCTCATTTAAATTCACTTATGTGAGAAGATAAGAATTGAGGTTGGGGACAGCCCTCTCCCTCCAACTCAGGAGGCTGTCCCATAACACCACTTGTTAGAAGCACCTGTCTGTGAGAGGTGCTTCTAACAAGTGGAGCTTTGGTTTTTGTTTTAATTTGTTTTTCCATCTTATTAAGGGTATATTAATGGCTAGTTATTATACCAATATGAAAGCTGTAACAATGAAGAAGCTATTTCTTTAATATGACCTTCTCTCCTTTCTTCCTTTTGATTTAAACTGGCCTCCCCCAGCACCCTGACTCATGTACCTCCTTCCTTGCAGAACAACTCCCTTAATCATTACGTCCTCAAAACAGTGAGGTTCTGCTCAGCAACAAATAACCTTAGGAACAAAGCCTTGGGTCTGTTTACCCCAGACACAGAGTTTTCAGTCAAACTAGAGATAACATCTAGACCTCAGATGTGTTTGAGCTTCAGGCACAGAAAAGTGGGGAAACCAGTCAAATCAATGCCAGGACCAGCTGGACTGATGAACTACGCCCTACCCTAGAGCCGACCAATCAATAGAGACCCCAACCCTAACTTTCTTAGTCACCATGATTAATAATTTTTCCCCTATGAAACCCATCCCCGAGAAGCCATCGTGGATCTATGTCTTTGAGCGTTAGCTAAGTGGTCTCTAGGCATGGGCCACTTCCCCAGCTAATAAACCATTACTTTCTTTGCCGCAAACTCCTGTAATGTATTACTGGGTTTTGATGCACGCAGGCAAATGAACCCCTTTCATCCAGTAACAATGTAGTGCCCAACATGGGCCCCTTTTGCCTGTGGATTTATGGCCCCAGGCGCAGGGCTTGCCACCAGGCCCCCATCTAGCAGCTGCTCAGACTTGTCTTGGAGGTGGAGGTTAGATAGCAGTCCATGACCTGATGCTCGGCCTGCAGCACTTCTGTTTGAGGCATAAGAAAGGAGGAATTGAAAAGGCCTAGATTTCAAATTTGCTCTGGTTTTGAAAATTAAAAACTTTTTCTGGTAAGGTTTCATGAGTGGTGACCCCAGGGAAACCACACTTCTTTTTTTAATATTATTTTTTTGAGAGAGAGAGGGGAAGGGAGAGAGAAATATTGCTGTGAGAGCAAAACTGTTAAGGCAGTTAGACAGACATGAGCAGAACAAGGACGATGGGCCAGATACAGAAACTCACCAGGGCAGAAAGCCCCAGGTGTCTAGCAAGCGGCAAAACTGGGAAAACAAGAACCCACCCCCAGGGTGGCCTTTCCTCTCCTAGTATATTGTTGGTCAGGTGGTTTGGATCCCCTGACCTTTTCCTCCCTAAAGATAACATCTAGGCCTCAAGTTGTATTTCAGCTCCAGGCCCAGAAAAGCAGCAGAACCAGACAAGTGGCACCTGGCTGCCTCAGGACCAGCTACATTGACTAAAGAACCCCCTGCCCTGGCACCCAGACCAGGACCCTGCAGGAGCACACCTGGAAAGTTGATGAATATTGTATTGAACCACTCCCCTGAGACCTCCCCTAAGATTTCCACCAGCAAGAAAGAGATGAATAGCTCAGGACAAAGGACCCAGTGGGCACCCCCCTGGGGAACCCCTCCCCCCCCGCCCCGCCAGGAGAG